GATTCACTAGCTGTCCATGTGCTCTAGTTTGTTCATGGATTGGTTAACCCCTGCTGTCCACGCGCCGCGGCTAAGCTTTTAATTGGTGCTGTTAATCAAGACACGTGTCTTCTAGTTTGGGTCTCACAGCTGTGCTTCAAAACATTTTTATCTTCAGCTCACTTTCTGCGCTTGCTTCGTTACTTGCTTTCTCAGACTATTTCCTTCAAGGCTATGTTGTTCAAGGTCGCTCGCAACACTCCCTGTGAATCCCACAGACACCGCTGTGACTTAATAGGGTATCTTACAAAGCTATTGACAATTTTGTAAGACACCATGTTGTCAGTGGGTTCAATCTGAGCTGAGGCTTTGTGAGGTGATGAGGGCAAGAGAGACGTTATTGCTACACAACTTTTCAGCACTGCTCTCCTGCTACTAGATGTTCCTAGCAAAACAGGCAGTGCTGGCTCCTCTCTCCCTGCAGCCCTCTGGAACACCACAGGGTTGTCGTCCAGAGCCGGGCCATGGGCACCGTATAGCAGTCAGCTAAGGAATAGAGAAACTCACTCCCTTGTCATTTCTGCAAAGTCTGAGCTCCCTGTTGCCCAGTGGTAAGTGCAATGAACTCACTCCGAGCTAGTCCAGCCTCTCAGCATTTCACACGATCCTACTTTTCATGGTTTTGATCAATTATTTAGACCATGTCACTGATTTCAATGGGACTGGGATTCATTTCTAAATGCGAGAGGTGGTTGGAGGTTCCAGACTTTCCTCCACACACATGAGGTCACAACCTCCTCTGAAATAGATGTTACGATCGTGATCCAAGTGTTTCCTTATTGGAAGAAAGTTTGGTCATTATCTGTGGGAACAGATGGGTTTCAGTGACAGCTGAGATGCTGCTGCACAGGTTGACATCCTCCCTTTCTCCCACAAGAAACTCTGGCTTTATGACCCGTGCTGATTTGGACGTGTTTTCTCTGTATCTTTGTATTCAGGATTTAAGATGATGTTGAGGAAGATGCATTTGGAGAGAAGAGGAGAAGGCTTGTGCCTTTAGTCCCCACGGAAGGAACACACTGCTTCTGCAATAGGGAAGTGTTTGAAACGTGGCTTTGAAGCAATCTTAAGCTTTGAGCGTAGCTGGATGTTGAAGTAAAGGCAATGACTGAATTCCTGAGGAAAGTGGTTTTACGGAGACGCCTCTATGCTCACAGGTATTTGAAAAACTGGCTTATTCCTCTCTTGGCAGGGAGGAATGTCGCTAGCCCTGATCTGATGTCATTAAATGTGAGGTTCATGTGGGTACTTTAATAAGGTGCCTTCCTCTTGGGGGAAAAAACACAACAGGAACATCCCAGGAAACACTTCAATTGGACACATTCCAGCTTCTCTCTCATTAAAGTCCACCTATCTAAGCCGCAAGCAGACAATTTATTTAGGAGGATGCTGTGGGAGATCGTGTCGAAGGCCTTACTAAAGTCTAGATAGACATCATCCACAGCCTTCCCTCATCTACCAAACGAGTCACCTTGTCAGAAAAGGAAACCAGATTGGTCAAGCATGGTCTTTGTTTCACAAATCCATGTGGCTGGCCCTGATCTCCTGATTTTCCTGCATGTGCTGTGTAATGGCACACAAGGTGATCTTTTCCATGCCCTTGCCTGGCACTGAGGTCAGGCTGACAGGCCTGTAGTTCCCCAGATCGTCTTTCCGGCCCTTCTTGTAGATGATCATTACGTTTGCTAACTTCCAGTCTGCTGGAACTTCTCCAGTTAACCAGGACCGCTGGTAGATGATCTCTCCTGATTTTCCTGCATGTGCTGTGTAATGGCACACAAGGTGATCTTTTCCATGCCCTTGCCTGGCACTGAGGTCAGGCTGACAGGCCTGTAGTTCCCCAGATCGTCTTTCCGGCCCTTCTTGTAGATGATCATTACGTTTGCTAACTTCCAGTCTGCTGGAACTTCTCCAGTTAACCAGGACCGCTGGTAGATGATCGCAAGAGGCTTGGCAAGTTCTTTTGCCAGTTCCCTCATTACTCTGGGGTGAATCTCATTGGGACCCGTAGACTTATGAGAGTCTAATTGGCACAGCAAGTCACTAACCATCTCCTGGATTATGGGGGTTTCACTCAGCTCCCCGTCCTTAACATCTGGCTCTGGGGGTTGGGTGTCCTGAGGACAACTGGTCTTGGTATTGAAAACCGAGGCAAAGAAGGCACTGAGCATTTCTGCTTTTTCCTCATCCTCTGTCACTACACTACCCTCTGCATTCAGCAAATGATGGAGACTCTTCCTGACCCTCTTTTTGCTGACAATTTATTTATAGAAACTTTTCTGCTATCTTTAACTGCAGTGGCCAAATCAAGTTCTAGTTGAGCCTTGGCCCTTCTAATCTTCTCCGTACACAATCTCACAACATCCCTATATTCCTCCCAAGTTACGTGACCTCCCTTCCAGAGGTGATATTATCTCTCTTATCCCTGACCTCCAGCCTAATTTCTCTGTCTAATCAGGCCGGTCTTTTTCTGCGATGACTTGTCTTTCTACACACAGGGATGGCATTTTCCTGAATATTAAGTAATTCCTTTTTAAAGCATATCCAGCCTTGCTGGACTCCTTTGTCCATCAGGACTGTCTCCCAAGGGACTCTGGCAATCAGTCTCCTGAATGGGCTAAAGTCTGCCCACCAGAAGTCCAAAGTGAAGTTCTGCTGGTAGCCCTCTAGGTCCCCAGCCCTGCAGACACCGCCGTCTCCAACAGGTCCCTCTGCTTTGGCGTGAGAGGAAACGAACTTTGGACATCCATTCAGAAGTGGGGTCGCTTGTCCACAAGGGTGATAAGTCTATTGAGTCAAAGGGAGGGAGTAGGCAACTGTTGGGGAGAAGAGGAAAGGAAAGAGAACAAAGGTTCAGCTTCATCTTTAGATAGTTCCACTGAATTGTCTACAGAGTATATGTGTACAAAGGACCTAGATGTCTGATCTGCCATATTTGCCAGGCATTGACGATTCATGTCATCAAATGTAAAATAATGTGGTGGGTTTTTTTTTTTTTTTTTTTTGTAGGGGGAGAAATTGCAGGCTAAACTCTGTCAGGGACAGTCACTGCTGCCTGTGAAGGGACTAATTCAGGTGTAGACATCTAAGCTGAAGTGAGCTGAATCTCACTAGAAGTATCTCTGAGGTGACAAGAATCCCACCTAAAGTGAAGATGAATGTGAAGATTAGGCTTGACAGAAGTAAATGACCCAATAATCAGACCAGGGATCTAAGAAGACCATTCCTCCAATGAGTAACAGCCCTTGGTTCTTTTGTTGCACATCATTCTCCTGCTCACTTAGTAAACCTCTTGGGTGAGAGCCTGTACCTTACATGGAGTATGTCCTACATGACTCCTCCCAGTGCCAAAATGTAGTTGACGGAAATAACTTCAGAAAGAGGGAGCTATATTCCAGACAGTGCCACAAGACTGATGGTGCTTTGGTTAACCTCTTCCCTTTAGCTCTCAACTTAATCTTCCTTTCCTGTGTAATTCTTGCTATTATGGTCTAGAGACTGGTTGGGAGCCTGTGGTGGTGCATTCCCCCCGTCTTTTTCCTGGGCCTCGCTATGATGTCAGAAATCCATGCCTTAGCCTTTGTGTAAGGAGTTGGGCAGTTAAGGGCCTCTTGATCGTACCAGAAACTCTCTCACAGCTAAGGATGGAAAAATACTGACTGTACCGGCAACATCTGTTGCCTAGCCAAGGATGGGAACTCTAACAAAATAGGCCTCGGTACATCTCTTCTCTGAATAGAAACTCAATAAAACAGGCCTTGGAGGCCTGAGAAAAGTAGGCACCGGTACATCCCTTATCTGAATCGTAGCTGAAGTAGAACACGGTATCAGTGCTACTGGAATTTTGAGAATTCCAGCAATTACTAACTCAAATTGGGGCCAGAATGGAAATTTACTAATGACTAAAGTCAATCATCTTCCCAACCTATAAACAACAGTCCTAAAGTGAGACCCTTTGAGCTCTCCTGCACCACAGCGGGCTGCAACCAGCATCCCCCTCTGAGTGGGACACCCTCTCAGAGCTCGCAAACCCTCAAGTTTGCGAAATTTGGAGGATTGTTGATGAAAGCAGACAATGAAGCCTGGGCTGAAAGTCCTTCACTTCTTGGGACTCAACCCTCACCTGTTGAGAGATGCCAAGGCATTAGAAGTGAGTATTTCACAGAAATTGAGGGAAATTTTTCTTTTAAGTGTACCTACCTTTACACATAATATACCTCTATACATCTCTTTCTTTATACAAATATATATATACACACATATTTATTGCTTTATATGTGTATCTTTATACATTTCCTTCTCTTATCTCTTTATACATACACTCCTTTATACATATATCTCTATACATGTATCTCTCTTAGTGTTTCTTCTCATGCATGTGTGAACAGATTCCAATACCCTATAACAATTTAAGTCACTGTTATAAGCGTAGTCCTTCATAGATGTTCATTTAGTTAGTGCTTAAGTGCTGCTAAATGAAAAGTGCTCCTAAATCCTAGTGCTAAGTACTGACTTGACAGAAGAGTCTCCCTTACCCTTTCCCCTTTTACCCCAGTCTCTGGTGTACACTACTCTAGCTCAATTTTAAGCTGTTTTTTAATTCCCTTTTCCTGTGTACCTTTCCTTCCTGTAGTAAGTGACAGAGTGAACCTTGCCATTGAACTTTGTTAAGTCACCTTTCTATCAATTCATATTAAAACTAATAAAACTATCAGTTTCTGCTAATACCTTTGATGGTGATTCTTTGAGCGACCTTAAAGCCACTTATTCGCAACAAATCATGTAGTCGGCAGGATGGCAAGCAATATCACTGATTACTTACAAAGGCATGGGATAAGTCCAAGTCCTAAACTTTCAAAGGGGCTTGTGATAACTGGTATAATTGGGCAGTGGTAGAACAACAATTAAAGGTCGCTAGAGGCCATATGAAGGATGGAAAAGGAAAGGGAATCATTTGCAACATGCCAGATGCCTGCTTAGAAGCTGCTTATCAGGATAGAAAGAGTAACAAGAGAAGGCAGCAGGACTTAAAGAAGGAGACTGAAAGCAGGAAAGCAGCTGAGTTATTACTGTCCTTGAAAATCGAGCAGCTGCAGAAACAATTACAAGAAGAAAAGGAGGAGGAGCAAAAGTTGGAGGAAAAGGTTGAGATGATGCTTATGCAGGCTCCCAATCCCCCTGATATTGTGCGTATTAGAAAACTAATTGTATCCCCTGAAGAATGGGATGGTAGCATATGAGGTGACACTGACGATAATAAACCAGGGAAAGGCAATTCTTTATCTCCCTCAAGTCCTCCCAAATACGAAGCTAGACCCATTATAAAAACTGAGGAAACCATCAGACCTCAGGGTGGAGCAGGACATTGTGCCAGAAAAACAACCCCATTCAATCCACTTCAGGTGGCTAATTTACAAGAATGCTATGGCTGTAAGCCAGGTGAAACCGAAACCGAGTACTTATGGCAAGCATGTTTAACTGGAGGAGATAGAAGCTTACTAAGTGGGGATGAAGCCAATGGATTTTGGGATCCTGGTGTCTTTTTAAATTCTGGCCCTGACCCCCCAAATGATCCCCACTCAATAATTAGCAGAGTGGCATACTGGGCTGGAGGAACAGACAGATTAGAGAGAGGGAACCCCTATTAATACCCATCAAATCCTTGAACGATCTCTCCACCGCTATTACAAAAGCTGCCGGTATTCAGGCTATGCATAAGCGCGGCAAACACGATGTCCCTATTTCAGCAACTGCTGATTATGACATGCTAAAGCTGCTAATTAAAAGAGCCCCTGCCACGCTAAAACCTTACCTCATTTCAAAATGACATGAAATGCAGAGAGACATAGACTTCAATGCCCCGTTGGCTGTAAGGGGCATCGTTGATGACTAGGAGGAAGAAGCAGCCCTAGTACATAGAGACATCCCCACCTGGGCAACATTAATGCATGATGCCACAAAACACGAATGAGAGATGGAATGGAGCGATCCATCTAAAGCAAAATCTGCTTTTACTTGGGAAGGTATACAATACACCTTTAGCAGACTCCCACAGGGTTATAAACTTTCGCCCACAATTGCTCATGCTGCATCTGCTGAACTTCTACAGACAGTCTCACTCCCTCAAGATGTGAAGCTACACTGATATATAGGTGATATTCTAATCAGAGGAACTTTCCCTGGTAAGGTGGGGGAAGAAGCAGCAGCAGCACTATGGCAAGCGTTACATCATGCAGAAGATGAGATTCCACCCAAAAAGTGTCAGGGGCCAAGAAGTGAAATTCTTGGGAACTTGGTGGATAGCAGGCAGCGCAGTGATTCCTCCAGATACTTTAAGAAAAATAGAACAACTGCAAATGCCCTACTCTGGGAAAGAGCAGACTTAAAGCTTACTACTTCAGTTATGCACAGAAATGAGATCTAATTAAGATATGAATGGAAGTGGGATAGAAAAAATCTAATTCCCCTACTCCAAGACACACCAGGAGAAAAAATTAAAATAGGATGCTGAGTAATCAGTCGATCTACCCATTGGAAACCAACGGAAATGACTGATATAATCCTGCTTCCACTTGGACTAGAAAAGACATGAGATTTTGTAATTATGTCAACCTAGACTGTTGCTATAATTTCACCCTAGTTCAACCTGTTTTTGTGACTTGTGCATAGACCTACCGTAGGGTGGGAATGATGTTTAAATTTAGGATTGATGTACTCAAAATATGGAATTGCGTACGACAAGGTGGCCATGGGTTGATGCGTATATACTTTTTAACATACCTACACCTGATCTAAATTTAGCTGCCGTAGCACTACACAATAATATCACCTTTTGTAGGCAGGAATGGATTATTAAGGATAAGAATAAAAATGAACAAATTCTATCTTTGGAGGGGTCCAAAGGAGACACCATTTCAACAGGATGCCAAATTGAAAATCACACTAAATGTATGACAACATCTTTACGTATGATTATAACCTATGTCGGGGGAAAACACCACACACACACCTGTTCCTTCAAACACTGGCATATTTTTACTGTATCGCATTCAACAATCATAATGTGTTTTGGGGTAGACTTCAAATTTCATTCCAGCTTAGGCCTCCAATTCAAAATTGATATCAAGCAACTGTCCTCACCAACTCAGTCTCCTATTAAGTTATCTCCTTACATTTGTAATACTGATCCCTACATAATTAAAACCGCAGAACAACGAGTGTTGTTTAATCCATCATGGTCCCTCAAATGAGTGGAACTCTCGATGCAGATCAATATCTCTGCAATTAAACCTACCTGCTCACCATTCCTAGATACATCTTATGCAGAATGGTTAGCATGGTTACATGGATGAACCCTCACTTCTCCAAAATGATCAAAAAGAGATATAACTTGTATCCTTGGAACAGGACTGGGAATATTAAATAGCATAGATGCTGAAGTCCTAATGAACAAATTAACTGCTACTACCGATGACCTGAATAAATTAGAACACCCACTAAAATAATCTCTATCAGCCTTAGGAGCAAGTCAGTGGCTCCTATCAGACATTCTACCTTATTGGGGAAGAACTGAGAAAAATGACTATCAATTAATTGTAAACACCCTCGGAGCAACCCAAGGTAATACCTCTCTTACTTTGAATTGTATCCAAGCACAGTTAGGGATACAGTCTGTGGTCGCAGCTATCATTAGAGAAGGAGAAGAAGGAATCCTACCTACCAAAATTTGTAAAGTGATCTGGGACAATGCCTCAGAGTTCAAGAGAGTTTCAGTCATGGTGGCAATTAGTCAATTTTACTTATCATTCAGAAGATAATAAGATTGCCACCTCTGTCCTCACTATACACAATGCTTTGGTATATACCATATACCCAATCATTGCCCTGGGATTAAATCACCATGGAACTGTATTCTATCCGTTAGAACATAGAATATGAGCCCAATGAAATGGAAACGGATGGCAAACTGTCAATGTTGATGCATGCGTTGCATGGGAACAACAGGGATTTATTTGTGAAAGTAATACCACTAAGGCTCAAGACATTTGCCTTGACACTGAACAAAGTGTTTGTCATTTTGAAATGCATCCTGATGAAATCCCTAAATCTGTACTTGTATGTTGGAAATGGATGTATTTGTATGAGAACCCTTTGTGACTTTATATTTACAGATACCACCACTGTAGAGACAAATACTCATGCCAACATCTGTATTTGTAATTTTACCAAAATTATGCGATAAGACTTTAACTATTAATCTCCTGTCACAACCCACCAATCGCTACAATCAGACTACACACTGTATCAAATACAATGTATTTACTACTTACCCGCATTGGGATGAATCTTACATTGGTAAAATTGCTCTTGCCACAAGATGACCTGACTCTGTTGCTAGAACAAATCTGAAACAATGGACAAAACCCCTCAATTGCTGTCCATCCTGATGCAGAGAAAATACATCATATCCTAGAAAGAGCGAAAAGGGATGGAGAATGTCACTGGTGGGATGCAATTGTTCGCACAGAGCAATTGTTCTGTGTTTAGTGAAATCAAGATTGCTTCCTCTGAAGCCATTGGTTTTCCAGAGGCCCAGGCATGAATCCCAAATTGTTTTAGTTCGGGAGAGTACAAAGTATCCAACTTCACCTTAAGAACTGGTGTTAATATTTACTTTCTTGGACATGTATCTATTAACAGCAACAACAAGAGCATTAAAAGAAGGCTATGGTGTTTGCTGTACCCAGCAATGAGTATGCCTGTGTTTCAGACACGTTAATTTCCTTTACGAAAGTAAAACCGGAAAATTACGATTAGAAATCTTATGAGAACTGAGGATCTCATAACCTCTGCAAGAGGTTTTCCAGAGGGGTTGAGGAATCTCTGCCTCTGGAGATATTAAAAATTCAGCTGGACGTGACCCTAAGCAACTTTATTGAACTTTAAAGTTGAAGTTGGATCTGACTTGACAGTTGACCCTGTTATGAGCAGGAAGTTGGACCAGATGACCTCCGGATGCCTCTTTCAACCTAATTTATTCTTTAATTTTAGGTCTCTTTTATTGGTTGCTTTTTTGTTTACTTGTTTGTTTGTTTGTAATTTAGAAAACCTGTCACACTATGATCCCTGCAAGACTTCCAGTCTGAAGACTCACCAGGAGGGATTTGCCTCATGTGACTGCCTGCCTGTGTATCAATGTATTTATGTATATCTATATGTCTCAGGGTGCAGAGTGAAAGGAAAGAAACTGTGGAATTCACCTCACCTAATTTGTGTATCTGCACAGTAGACCTCAAAAGAGTTAGTGAAGTTTAACTTCATTCGGTTGCCTGTCAATAGGCCCCCAGTGTCATGAAAGAAACCATAGAGTATCCCATAGATATGTATAGGTTTGAAGATATGACACAGGGCTTGTGGAAGACCTACACCATCAGAAGTGGAAGAGGCAGACCAGGGAGGCTACTCTTTTGCCTAAAATGACCCTAAATGCTTTTATGTGAGAGTTGAGCTTGTCTAGTACCTTTCACTTGTTGCCAAGATGGAGGAATAAACATGTCTAGACCTAGCTAAGACATTTGTATTCAAAGGTGGTGACTCCAACCTTAGAAGAATCTGTTCAGATTATCTGTAAAGACAGCTCAGGTGAGATTCACAGGCAGTTATCAAGAGGACAGATATTTATACCTAAACTAAAAAAAACAGAGAATCTCACTGACTTGTCTCTACCTGAATTTCCCCACATTCGCTTCATGGGTAAGCACTTCTTCCCTCAGAATGTTTCTTCACTCCACAGAAGAACCAAATGAAAGTGAATTATACTTCTTCCACTGCTTAGAAACTTTTTTTCCTGAAACTTTTCAGAAAAAGAGGTTTTGTTCTGTACCATTGAGAGGGCATTTTATAGATATGATGTGGCCAATTAGAAAACTTGAATCCTTTCTTCGTTGTGTATAATTCTGATCAATGTCCTTTAACTGCACAAGTCAGATTCAGTGAGAACATGACAAGAAAAGTCTAATCACGGCATAGGGACTCAGTTCCTTCTCCTGGGATTCTCTGATAGTTGTGAATTGCAAATATTTCATTTTCTGGTATTTCTCCTTCTTTACCTTGCTGCCTTGACTGGGAACTGCCTCATCATAACAGTTGTGCTTGACCACCAGCTCCACAGTCCCATGTGCTTCTTCCCGATGAACCTCTCCATCTCTGACCTTGGCTCCATCTCTGTCCTGGTCCTCAAATCCATGGCAAACTCCATCTGAAACACAAGGTCTATCTATTGCTCTGGATATGTTGTCCAAGTATCTGTCTTCATTCTCTTCACTCCATCTCGCTTTGCTATCCTCACTGTCATGGCGTATGACCGCTATGTTACCATAGGCAACCCCCTGCACTGTGAAACAAGAATGAATATGAGCTTGTCTTCAGATGGCAGCCAGTGTGTGGGCTACTATTCTTCTGTATTCCACAATGTACACTGGCATCACTTTCCAGTTAACCTTCTGCCAGTGCAATGTCAATCAGTTCTTCTGTGATGTCTCCCAGCTTTTCCAATGTCCTGTTCTGACAAGTATGTCCATGAGTTTGGGGCTGTGGTCTTTAGGCTCTGTTAATATTCCATCTGCTTGATGTCTATATTAGCCTTTTATGTTCCGATTTCACTGGCAGTGTCGAGAATCCCTTCTGAGGAAGGCCAACATAAAGCCTCCTCCACCTGCGTCCCCGACCTCACTGTGGTCTCTTTGTTTAGTTGTATGGGTAGTACTGCTTACACGAAGCCCATCTCCACCTTCTCATCAGCCTTGGCACCTGTAATAGCTGTGCTCTGTTCTGTGTTGCCTCCAATACCAAATCCTGCTATCTACAGAACGAAAAACAAGGAGATTATAGGAGCTGTGAGGAAGTTGATCAAAAGGAATCTTTGAAGCAGAAAGGAAGCATCCCTCTTATTTACAGGAAGGAGATTTTTCACTTCTTCATGCCTTTGTCAAAAATAGCCTGTGGGCACTTTAGGAGAACCTAAATGTCTTTGCCAAGCACTGCTTGAGATGCTTTGGGTAATTTGTCCAAGACATTGATACTTGTTGCACTCTGCATTTTCCCTGCACTTTATAACATTTCATGTGTCTGACCCTGATCTTTTCTAGCCAGAATTAAAACCAGAAGTGTTTTTGAGAGGCACTTTGACCAGGCACTCTCGGTGAACACACTTCAGCTCATGTTTCATGTCTGCATTTCCATAGCTCAACTACAGGTCTCATCTACACTCATGAGAAGTCTTCATTTTTAGAGGCAAAACAAAGGGCATTTAAAAGATTTAGATGGTTTCATCTTGAGAAGTATATGTCAGTCCTGGCTAACTGGGGAGGTACCAGTTGATTGGAGGTTAGCAAATGTGACACATATCTACAAGAACAGCCAGAAGGAGGATCCCAGTATGGAAAATGGTACGGCGATAGATAAAGCGGCGTCCTGCAAACATCAAAGACCAGTGCATCTTGTTCCTCCTCCTGCTGTTCGCATGAGAATCCTACTTTAAGATTAACAAAACATAACAAAGGACCAGCCAGAGGTAACGCACGTGACTTCTAAGATCCTGCAAAACAGAAACTGAGGCCGACAGCCCCATGGGAAAAATTACACGAATGTGATAAACTAACTGAGAGTATTGAGCAGTGTAAGATGAGAACCAAAGAGGTGGTTATGTAAATATGCCCTGTGATTGGACCCTTCTGCTGTTTCTTGTGATGCCTTTCAGGGAGAGTTAAGAAGCAATAAACGATTCTGATTCTGGTTAAGCACATCAGGGTCCATGAAATCATTCACCACAAACGGCGCCCAACGTGGGGTAAACAAATTAAGCACGGAACAGGGACTAATGAATTAAGCAAGGAACAGGACGAGTACCCGGTGGTGAACCTGCAGCTGAGACGGAGGAAGTTACAGCCGAGGGGAACCGGCATCTGCGCGCAAACATCTCGAAGACCGAGACATCACCCGAGGTGAGCAGCTGCGGTAGTTTAGAGTCATGGGGCAGTCCTTGTCAGCAACCCCAAGCCAAAAACAGTATCTTGAAATATTACAAAGAGTTTTGAGAGAGCAAGTCTATGCAGTACCTCCGATTAAACTGGTGCACTTGTTCATCTGGATTAGAGACTATCGCAGGGATCAGAGACTATTGTCCGTGGTTTCCTTCCTCGGGCTCATACGATAGCTCCTTGTGGGTGAGAGTGGGGAAGGAGCTGCAAACTAAGAAGGATCTGCAGCTTGATGTGCCAGAAGAGGTCATTATGATCTGGCGCGTTGTGTTTATGGCTTTGAATGCACTAAAACCAGCAGAAGAGATGTTATAGGCGGCTACTGCTCCTCCTCCGTCTCTTAAGGAAAATGAGCATACGGGACAGTAGTCTTTTGAAGTACTAAGCACCATATGTGAGGAAGTGCCTGCTCCAACAGGAGATGCACAGGGTGTAAACCCAGAGCGGCAGGAGCTCGACGATCTTTTTGATCCAGGGGTAATAGACTCTACGATGGAGACAGATTTATACCCTCCGCTAACTCCTTTAAAGGCTATAACAGCCACGGTGCCACCTGCAGAGGAAATCTTGCGGACACAACACAGACCTTCTTCTATTACATTGCCCCCCCCATTTGCGCCAGCTCAATTAACAAAGCAAGAATCGTTAGCTATGGTGAGTCACTCAACGACATTGCTTGACAAGTGTAGAATAGAGGCACTTTGTGAGGGAGATGTGTCTATATTTAAGGCACTGCCTGTAATATATAAGCCAAATCAAGCACCGGAGTTTGCTCATTTACCATATGAAGCGATTAAAGAGGTTTGAAAATCAGTTCGAGAGTATGTCTTACAAGCCTCATTTACTATAAATCTTATACAGGCCATCGGAGAGTCTTATGTTATGAGAGAGGCCATCGGAGAGCCTTATGTTATGACCCCTTCAGAGTGGCGGTCAGTGTTGAGAATGGTTTTGTCTGCGGCACAGTACACAGTGTGGTTATCAGAGTACAAGGAACTTGTGAACGTACAAGTTATGAATAATTTAAATAATGGAGGACCGATTGTAGGGCAGGATCAGCTTATGGGGCAAGGTATTTACGCAACTGGGACGGCGCAAGCTGTGTTGCTGAGAGCAGTGTTTACACAAGCGGCTGATTTAACTATTAAGACGCTGAGGAAAGTGCCGGACTAGGGCCAACGAGAGGCATCCTTTGCATCAATCAGACAGGCATCCCAAGAGCCTCATGTTCAATTTTTAGACAGGCTGCAGACAGCAATTATGAGACAAATTGAGCAAGAAGAAGCTGCTGAAATTTTGTTGTTTCAACTTGCCATTGAAAATGCTAACACAGATTTTAAAGGGGCCATAGACCCTATACGCAATTCTGCAAAAACAATCACTGATCATATTAAAGCTTGCCAGAATATTGGGTCAGAACAACGTAAGGCAGAAATGCTGGCTGCTGCTTTAGCTCAGCAGATGATTGTGGCACAGGCTGCTCTAAAATGTTTTCAATGCAGTCAGGAAGGGCACATGGAACAAAATTGTCCACGAACTAAGGGACTGAGGCAGAACGCTCAGTGAACCCCCACCCAACTCGGTCTAAAATGTGGGAAAGGCTGTCGTTGGAGCAATCAATGTCAGTCAAAATTTGACAACCAAGGCAATCCTGTGCAGGGAAACAGGAAGCGGGGCGCAAGACCTGGTGCCCCAAGAATGCACAACAAGGTCTGCCACTCCCCTCCCCCAACGGGCAGCCTACCCGACTTGGGATCACGGAGCGGTGAATTCCAGCGTAACACCATTCAGTCCCTCCAACACAGCACAGCCTGCAGTGCCGGGTTGGATCTGGCCACAACCGCAACAATCACAGTATCAGACCAGTCGGTGAGTGTTATACCTACAGGAGTGCATGGCCCCCTACCTGACAACATGTGTGGCCACCTTATTGGAAGATCTTCAACAACATGATTGGGACTTTTTGTGTTACCGGGAATTATAGACTCTGATTACGATGGGGAAATTAAAATAATGGCATGAACCGTGCACCCTCCCTGCACTATTCCGAAAGGAGAACGTATACCACAATTGATTTTATTACCATATAAAAGCGGCGAAGCTGAGGATAAGCAAAGGGGAGAAGGAGCATTCAGTAGCACTGGGACACCCAATATATATTGGACACAAAAGGTATTACCAGGATAACCTATGTTAACAATTACTCTAAATGCCAAGCCCATTCACAGGACTGGTGGACACTGGTGCTGACATTTCAGTTCTTAACCAGAGGGAACGGCCAACATCTTGGCCTTCAGTGCAGGCGACTGCAGCGGTTACGGGGGCTGGAATCCCTTGCACAAACTTTATTAGTTGAAGGTCCGGATCAGAAACAAGCAGTTCTGAAACCATAAGTTCTCGCAGTTCCTTGTAATCTTTGGGGACGAGACTTATTATCACAATGGAACGTCACATTGACGACAAATTTTCACGAAAGGTCACTGATATCCAGCCCCGGCTCAAACTTAGATGGTTGACACAAACACCTGTTTGGGTCAATCAGTGGCCGTTAAAAGGTGAACGGCTGGAATGGGCGCAACGATTAGTACAGGAACAACTTGCATTGGGGCATATAGTCCCATCTACAAGGCCATGGAACACCCTCATATTTGTTATCCCTAAAAAAATCAGGCAAATGGCGATTATTGCAGGATTTGAGAGCTATCAATGCAGTGATGGGCCCAATGGGACCGTTAGAGCCTGGTGTTCTGAACCCTGCAATGATTCGCTGTTTCACAATAATTGTACACCCGGATGATTGTGCACATTTTGCATTTTCTGTGCCTACTATTAATAACAATACACCTGTGCAAAGATATCATTGGGTAGTGTTACCACAGGGAATGATGAATCGTTCTATGATATGTCAAATAGTGGTGGAAGTGGCTTTGAAGGAAGTAAGGGTCTCTTAAACAGATCTGTCTTTACCATTATATGGATGATATCTTAATTGCTTCAGAGAGACAAGAGACATTGCTTACTGCATTTG